TATAGGGAACATACTGTATTAATGTACTCTACTGCATATAATTTGTGAACATTTACATGATTTGTACACTTTGAACTCCCTTTCAGGCTGAAAGGGACTGAAAAAATTCATACCGAGAGATTCTTTTAATTCCTCTCTATTTATTCTATTCTCTATGTTTTGGACTAACGAATACAAAATCATAGCTAAGCTAGGAAGTCGCAGCTAAATCATAGCTAGAACCGGACAAAGAAACCGGGCTATAAAGTACAATATGCAGTATACATTGTTGATACTATAGTACGCATTTGGTGTTATCACGCATAAACAAAGTGATAAATTAGCAACAATCCAGAGGATAAAATGCCATGCGTACGACAGAGATGGTGCTGATTTCACTTTTTCTCAAGACCACAAAATGTCTACCTGCCATGGCGTATCTATATACATATATTATCTTTGCATGTAACACTCACGGACCAAATATAACGCCCGGTCTGGATGTAACGCTACACCGGAATTGTAAAAAAGAATAAAATAAATGTGTTTTCTAGAGTAGATATTCAAATAGGAAATAGCATCCTTAATCCCAATCCCTTGTTTCTAATCAGTATTTTTTTTTAACTAATCATATTATTGTAATCGTCTTCATATTCTCTGGTCATGTATTTTAAATTCCCGCCGAACGTTAAATAATCATAATACGAGGCATTATGCGCAGTTGATGCCGATTAGCGGGAGAAAGGGGTGGGTGGAAGGTGGGGAAAATTAACCGTCCTGCCTGCCTTGCCCACTAGACTGATAGATAGATGAAATTTGATTTTTAGTGCAAATACCGGTGGAAACAGATTTAATTATTTGTTGGTAAAAACAAATAGTAATTTTTAAATTCAAAAGGCTTGTTAAATTTTTTATGTCGCTTTCAAAGAAAGGAAGTGAGTGACCCAAATTATAAATCATTTCTATAACATACAATCACACAGATATCGGGTATGGGCCGGGGGTCCAGAAATCTTTCTCTGGGACAGACCTAACTTAGTAATTTCCCAGGTCGGCCGAGCGCTGCGGCTAGGACAGGGTAATTTCCTAGTATACGATTTTTGGACCCCCCTCCTATCAATTTTGTACATG